GCTAGTGCTAACAGTCTCCAGTGACTACTTGTTATTTCATATTTTGACCCAAACTTGACCCTGCTAGGTGAAATATGTATCTTTGTGTGTGTGCAAATTGAAACAATTTTATTATGTGCTGGGTTTTTTTCTTGGTACTGTGAAGTACTGGATTTGTTTTCTTGGTTCTATGAAGAAGACAAACTGTTTGGTGCCAGCCCACTTGTATTCTTCAGGAAAGTTTCATTAACGTGGATAATGATACAGTAGTCTATCAGATGTAGTATAATGGTTTGAGAAATGTTCAGGAGCTCCTCAAATTTAATTAAAAATTGTCATAATGTTTTAAATTGATTTGTCTGAGAAGATGCAAACAGGTGGTGATTTCTTCTGTGGAGCTGCATGAAATGATTTAGTGCCTCATAAAAATCTCCAAATTTTTTACAGAGAGTTCTGCCATCCTAGATCCAGGCAAGTCTGTGTCATAAAGTTGCTAACGTCATCTGCTCTCATGCTCGTCTTTGGCCTAACTTAGTCCTGTAGACAAATAACACCTAGCTGCATTTCCATGTGTGGTATCTTTATAATAGTGAGGATGTACATAAGGAAACAGGGTATAACTAAGCAAGGTTTCACTTGCAATTTCAGGAATCTTCTTAATATTATAAGCTATTGTTGTAATCATGGGACAGTGTTGTAATTTCCGTTTGACTGTTATGTGAAAGTAGAATGGCTGAAATGTTTTTGTCTTATTTTCCATAGTCACATTGTCCTGATGCTGGCAGATGATATGGCATGTAATCCCAGAAATCCCAAACCAGCTACTGTGTTTAGCCACAAAAACATGGAGCTAAATGTCTATGGAGATGATGTGGAAGTGGATTACAGAGGCTATGAGGTGACTGTGTTTTAATTAAATCACTGAGTCTTTGTTTTTTAGTGTTGGTTTAAACATGTGTAGAACATCTGTGAAGTCTGAGAAAATCTTTCTATTCACGTTACTGGTTTGGGGCTGGGCTTCTATTATCAACTAAAATGTTTAAAACACACACGCCTCCCTCCTTTGATACTCAATTTTGTATTTGAAAATTATTATACTAGCAACATGTTGTGTATTGGATATTTTAAATAATGGAATCTCTGCAGTTAAAAGAGTGTGTGGAACTCCTGGCATGTATTAGGAATGCAGACATATTACTGAAATTTCTCTTTGGAAATGGGTGGTCAGTGCCTCATATTGCAAACACTTCACACCACGGTGAAACTTCTGGTGTGCGGGTGGGATGCTAGACCTACTTAAATTTCTAATCTTACTCAAATACTTTTATCAAAGTAAAACAAAAGCCAGAACCTAATCATTGTTGTAAAGTAATTACTGTATAGAAATCTGCATTCTGTCACCCGTTCATTTTTGTGTAATATTCCTTCAGAAAGACAGTGTCTTTACTGGTTGATCTTAAATTAGACTTCGATTGCATGGTTTAATAGTGCTAGATAATGGTTACTAAAGGTTTATAGTTGCATATTTAAATATAGAGTAGATGTTTTATTTCTCTGAAGCTTTGTATAAAGAAGTGAAGATAAAACACTGAAATAGGTATGTTCATATTATCATGTTTTTTCCTGAGTATGGATTTGTTGCTACTGTTTGAGCTGTGTACAACTGCATGAAGAGGAAGTAGTTTTTTATAGGATGGTTTACAGTCACCGTCCAGATGGGTCTTACCTGATCACTTAGGCTTATGCAACCAAAATTGATCTGTTTTTTCCTTCCCTGAGTTGCAGTGGGAATTTAAACTTTTGTTTTTCCATGGTAACACACACTAATGTTGGAGCGTTTTGTGAGTGTATGAGCAGCTTTGACAGGATAAAGCTATATGCTGGCAAGTTTTCAGATCAATGAAAATGTGTTTAGAAATTATAGTGGTAGTGAACTTATTGGATATAATAAAGCAACAGGCTGATGTTAGTAGGATAAAGTAGAAGGTACAATATGATTGTGAACCTGCAGTAAAAACTTAAACAGAAAATGTCTGTTTATGCAGTTTGTACTGTGCAATACTACATCAGGGTAGATACACTGCATATTTTAGTGTTCCATTATTTAATTTACATAACCCAGCCTAGAGCTGTTAATCAGTGTTTTTGTCTTTAGAAAATTACTTTATGCTTCTATTCATAGGTTACTGTCGAAAATTTCTTGCGTGTATTAACAGGAAGAATCCCACCAAGCACACCACGATCTAAACGTCTTCTTTCTGATGACAGGAGCAATATCCTAATATATATGACAGGTAATTACTGGTTTCTTTGTACAATTTATTGATGTTTGTTGCTCAGTTGGGCAGGCCTGTTTGAAGGCATGAAATCCTATCAGAAGTCCAAACAAAAGGATTTTTTTCTTTTTATTAGCATGTCATACTAATTAAGAAAAAACCTGTAAGGCAGTACTTAGCAATTATAGTTTCCAGTTTAAATGAGGTATGTGTACTGTTATTACTGTACTAACATTTTCTGTTGCTGGAGTCTCTTTGGAGAAGGAGAGTTGTGTTTGCCTGTTTTTTAGAAAAATGGGCAACCGGGCTGAATATCTTACTTTAACCTGCATACTTGCCTAACTTCTGATTTTTCTGTCAGGCCATGGTGGAAATGGTTTCCTGAAATTTCAAGATTCTGAAGAAATCACAAATGTAGAACTTGCTGATGCCTTTGAACAAATGTGGCAGAAGAGAAGGTAAGAAAAAAGCATTATTTAGCAGTTAAATACTGTATTTCATGAACATGCCTGAAGTCTTACCAGTAGGCCTTGCTTACGTTCAGCAGTGATACTGTCTGTTGTCCATAAGATGACGTTCAAGTTTGCATTCAGAAGGAAGAGTTTTAATTTTTGTTTTCAGCTTCCTGCAGTTACAGCTGCTCAAATGTGTTGCTTTGACTAAACTCGCATCTTGCAGTCAATCAGTGTGAACTCTTCTGTTCTTGGGTTCCTTGTGGCTGTACTGGTAACTAAAAAGCAGAGCATGTGTGTGTTGTTTCAATTTAAAGAGAGATGGGTAAGGAGGCTGTTTTATTTCTTCCAGGTACAATGAATTGTTATTTATTATTGATACTTGTCAAGGAGCATCCATGTATGAGCGATTTTATTCACCTAATATAATGGCCTTGGCAAGCAGCCAAGTAGGAGAAGATTCTTTATCAGTAAGTAGATTCATGTGATCCTGAAGGCAATTTTAAGAATGCCTGAGTTAAAAGCACAGGTCCTATTGACTTTTAACTAAAAATTTCCCTTCGAATTTCTGAATGTGTAAGGTACTTAGTTACAAAGGGTGGTTTTGACAAAACTTGCAAGTGTACTTTTCCTACCTGTCTTGTGTGCTGTCCCAAAGAACCAGGCTAACAATGGATTTCTGTGCTTGCTGGCCAATTTATGCATTGCCTGTGACAGGAACAAATTCTATGGGAACACTGCTGAGAGAAATATATGGGGAATATTCAGTCTAGAACTTCTTAAACTTGGTATACAAAACAAATAACCACTACCTTTCACCTACTGCAATTATATCCCAACTGAATTACAGGAGGAGTGACGGGAGAGAGATTCTAGCCAGACCAAAACCAACTAACTGGTCAGGGTTACCTGAAGCCACAAAGTGCTGTAAGATAAGCTCTCTCCCAGCCCTGTTTTCCAAGTCCTGAGCAGCTCGGGGCAGCCTACAAATCTGTATTGGACCATAAAGAAGAAAGGGTTCCCTACTTTTTGGCAAACATGGAGATTAACGGGATATATTCTAGAAAAATGAACATAAACTTTATTATTCAGTTTGTCAACAATATGTTTCTTCACGGCTAGTCATTTTCTTTGTGTAATTTGCCTAAGAACAAAAAAAAATTATGCTTAACTTCCGTAACATGCTATTACATTCTGTTCCCTCTCATAAATAGTGAGTTCTCTCCTGCAAGTGTCCAATAACTGGTGTGTTGTTTTTAAGCATCAACCTGATCTTGCGATTGGCGTTCACCTTATGGACAGATACACATTCTATGTGCTAGAGTTCCTGGAAGAAATTCACCCAGCCAGTCAGACAAATATGAATGACCTAGTAAGTAGAATACTCAACATTCATGAATATGCTAATGACTTAACAGTTTCAGAACTAATTTATTTTGTCCATAGGATTCTCCAAATGCCTTTTGTTGTCCTGTTGTTTCTCTCAGAAGCAGCTTGGAGGGGAAGGGTCATTTTGCCATTATTAAATGTAATTGTAGTGTAACATTTTAAGGATTATCCTCAATGTGAAAGTGGTTTGCTGGCTACAGAAGTAATTAACCAAAATTAGCCAGATTTTTTTTTATTCATTGAAAAATGCATAAAGTATTCATTAAATATTCATTTCAATAAAATTAATTATTTGTACCTGAAAAATGGTAGTGGAGAAGCTTTTCAGCTTAATGGATAGCAGACACCTTGCAGATGTGGAAAGTCAGCCATTGATACTGTTTTGCAAAGGTGATTGAACAGTTTAAAATTCTAACCATGTACTCGCAAATGCCTGCAGGGACTAATTTCTCTCCTTAGATTCCAGAGCAAGATATATCCAAATCCAACAGTGTTTGGAGTTAATTATATCTTGGGTAAATATTAATTGTAGCTTTCAGGTATGAGGCAGAAGAGGCGGGGGGAAACCCCAACCAGATAACCTATAACTAAATTTATGGAAATGCTATCTATACAGTTAGATGTATACACTGGTGAGATGACATAAAAAGTAACTGTATTTTCTTTACTCTGTTAACTCTTTATACGTGTTCCAATAGTAGTTCCATTGTAGTGATACATTATGCTTTGGTGCCTTGTAGCTGTAAATCCTGACATGCTGTGTCAGTGATCTAAGAGCTACCACTTACAGAACACATTGTCTTCAATTTGTTTCTGTAAAAGGAGCAGCTGCTCAGAAGTTTTATGCCCCCCTGTCTACAGAGATGGTGTTAGCCTGGCTGCTAGATGTATAGTAGAATTCACTCTAAACAGCCCACACTTGACAGATTTTATGTTGATACAGAATTGATGCAGTGACTAAGATTCAAGATTCTTTTACTACCATGGAAATGAAATTCTGTCCTGTAATCAAATACCTTCCGATTGTGGGATACAGATAACTTTAAAATAAATCTTGTTAAAGAAGAATATGCAAGTTCTTTATTAAGTATCTTCTAGCTAGTTCATTCAAACAGCACTTTAGAACTCTATTCTCTAAACCAGAAAAGGAATTGATGTAAAAAAAAAGGAATCATAAAAAATTAACAATGGTTTCTACTGTATAAGAACACCATCTGGGAAGTGGTATAACTGGTCTAGCTAGCTAGATACTAATCCAGTTGTTGTGGAAAAGTATAGAAAATTTGTGACCTGGCCAAGTAGTTTACCTTTTGAGCTCTTTGGAGAAGGTATCTAGACATTCCCTTTTATGTTTTTGTTTTTGCTTGTATGCCAAATACTCAGGAAGAGCTGTGGGAGATATCCCATACTGGTAAATTCCGAACATCATGTAAGTCATCATATGTCATCGATATGCTTATCGTTGCTCTAGGAAGGGAAGAGAATGGACCCCAATATGTCATGATTTGTGATGGTCAGGTACTGAGTCATAATATGCATGTATTTCAGCAAACATGACCTCTTGATTTCAAGTTGGTGCTTTTCAGGCCTTCATCTAAGAGTTCTGGAATGACGGGTGGTTAGCCCATGGTAAGGCTGTAAGCCTGTTTATTTGCCAGCAGTTATAGGGGATGCTTTGGCACTGGGATGCACTGTTAGAGTTGTGTTGGTTTAAGAACAAAGATATACTGCTTATCCAAGGCTGATTTTTTAAAATTAGTGCTTTCTAAACTCAGGATAACATATTCACTGGCTCACTAGCTAGCTTTAAAATTATCAGCTCATATTTAGTTGTCTGATACTCTGATATGTCACATGCCTGGTCTTTTAGAAGTAGTGTGTATTTGTTACACCACTTCTATTGCATCACCTCTTCAGTTTTCATCCAGTCCACCTACTCCCCACCTGCTCCATCTGTGTTGCTAAGGGATAGCATAAAGCTGTGCAAATGACTGACTTTCAGTTTGATCACAATTCCAAGAAAGTAAAGACTAAATTGAAATGTCACACATGTGAACTTTTAAAATAAGATTGAAATAAATTTCTAAATGAGATCTCATTTGTCATAAATAGCTAAAAATATTGTTAAGATAACAGAGTTCCCATTCTGCGGAATTGTTCAACAATTGTTAGTTTGCTGTGGTGTAGTTGCTTTGCAGTCCTTTTTTCACGCTGGTACTGGACAGGTAGATTTTTAGTACTAAAGTTGTCTTCTCAGTGCCATTGCACGTTTTTGTTCAAGATTCATCTCAACATCTTAGGGTAATGAACTGTTGTGAGACAGGTTAGGAATAGCTGGGTGCAGTATCAATTTCTCACTTTCAGTGCTGATGCGGTTGTTTTGGGACATTTGCACTTTCCTGAGAGCTTGGAAGAGAGACTTGATTGTATAACTGCACCATAGATTTATGCATCAAATAGCAGGATTAAAACAAGTACTTAGCTTGCATAGCTTACTTCAGATACGTAGTTTTTATGTTTGTGCCCTTAGTTGAAGCGGAGTTGCAGAAAATTGATTGCATTTTGGTGAAACTGGAGCTTAGGAGGGTTTGTGTCCATTGATAAGTGGCTTTGTATGTGAAGCATGATGCTGATGAGCCTAGTTCATTTTCACTTCACAGGGAGGGTAACAAAGACTTCGTCTGCCCCTGTCTTTTCTTTAGCAGCTGTGTGATACTCTGCCAAGAGAGTGGGAATAATTAAGAGCGAGCTCAGTGGATGTGTGTGCTTGTATGCTTCAGTTAAGGTAAAGGTGAAAGTGAGCTGAAGTCTCCCTGGACCAGCAGCCTAGTGCCATATGGTTACAGGCTTAGCCAAAAAAGACAAGATATGAAAGAGAAATTGTAATGGAGCGGAAGGGAGGAATGGGGAGGCGGAATCTGTTCTCTGTGAAGGGAAGCCAGGTACATTGTTTCCTTTCTGGGAAACTTTTTAAATGTAGGGCTTTGTTGTCCTAAGAGGAGGAGCCACACAAGCCTATGCATTTTGTTTCGGGCTGAGCGCGGAGTTTTCTGCTGGGAGGTACGGACTGAAACTCACAGCTTTTGTCAGTCATAAGCTGGGATAATTGAGGCTGTACCTGCATTGAGCTAATTCGGACCTGTGATTTTGTCCTAAGAGCTGCTAAGAGCTGACCCATTAGGTATATGAGCTCTAGATCCAGTGACTGATGGAGCTGTTTGTGAAAATCACTTGAAGAACTGAAGATTAAGGAAGATGAG